TCCCGCGCGTGGTCACCCAGCCTCGCTCTCCCTTGCGCAGGTGGGTCCGCGTGACCGTGCTCCCGGGCTGCGTGGGCTGCAGGACCGTGGCGGTGCCGGCGACCGCGACCGCGCGCGACCTCAAGGAGCGCATCTTCGCCCAGACCGGCCTCCCGGTGGCGGAGCAGCGGCTGTGGCGCGGCGACCGGGAGGTAGGTGGCCCCCACCGGGCGTCCCCCGCGGTGCGGTGCGGTGCGCCCCGCGCCGGGCGCCTCTCGCGTCCGGCCTCTGCACCCCCGCAGTCGTCCCCTGTCACCCTGCTGTCGTCCCCGTTGGTTATTTCTTTGGCCCAGCCTGGGATTTGAACTCTGGGCCTGCCTGGCAGGTTGCTTCACCATTTGAGACACACTCTCAGCCCGAGAAACATTGCTGATGTGAGAACCCGAGTCTTTAAAGAACTGTCTGTCCATTCATCCATCCATCCATCCATCCATCCATCCATCCATCCATCCATCCGTTAAACTATGAATTCATTGATCCATGCATCCGTGCTTGCATCCATCTTCAGGGTTTGGGCCCCGTCACTCTACCACTTGAGTCACAGCTTCACCGCTGACATTCTGCTGGTTAATTGGAGATAAGGATTTCGGGGATTTTCCTGCTGGGCTGGCCTTTAAATATCAGTCCTCAGATCTCAGCCTCCCGAGGAGCTAGGATTATAGGCTTGAGTCCCAGGGGCCTGGCTTTTTCTTTATTTAAACATTTGGAGACATCGTGGTAGAAGTGACTTAATCATTACTCATATTCTCTTTTTCTGTGTGTGTTCTCGTGCCTTCACCATTTACATATCTTCTTGAAAATTCTCATTTTTTTTCTTTTCCTTATTTATTTTTTTCAGATCTGGGGATGCAGCCTAAGGCCTTGCCCATGCTACTACCTAGGCAAGCTTCTCCATTGTCTCTGGTTTTCCTGTTAGTGCTGGGGGTGGAACCTGCCAGTTGCTCTACCTTTGAGTTCCATCAACCTTTGTCCTGTTTTAAAAGCAAAGAAATTCAGGGCTCACAAGGACCTTCAGATGTAATTTAATAGACAGTCTTTTGAGGAGGAAACTTAAAACTTCTGAAGTACTAACAAATGACTTGGTAGACTAAAACTTTGGAAAAATCTGAATATTTCATATTTTCATATGTATCTCTTTTAAGATTTGTGAAAATTGTAGAGTTTTCTGAAAGGGGAAGTTTAAATTTTTATTATTTTAAGTAGTTGTGAAGCGGGTTTCAACTGAACAAATTAGATTATGAGTACAATGTAAGAGAGGTTTGATTAACTTAATCTTAGCCGGTGGTTCATGCCTATAATCCTAGCTATTCCGGAGGCTGAGATCTGAGGATCATTGTTCGAAGACAGACTGGGTAGGAAAAAGTCCATGCGACTTTTATCTCCAATTAACCAGCAGAGAAGCTGGAAGTGGAGGTGTGGCTCAAGTGGTATGATGCTACTAGCTGTGAGTAAAAAACCAAGCAAGAGTACAAGGCCATGAGTTCAAGCCCTAGTATCAGCACATTTAGAAATGTTAATGTTTTATTTTAATAAATATACCTGTAATATTTTAATAATATATCTATAAAATATATTTGTATTATTCATGAAGAAAATCATTTCTAGGCTTTAAAAGGATGCAAAGGAGTTGAACAAGTACACAGGAGTACTTGAACAATATACAATGGCTTATCTTGTATTGGCTATCTTGCCCAATCAGTCAATGTAGTCTGCTGGGACTTTGCATGTACTATACCTGGGTCACTTTTCTGGTTTCTTGCTTACTAACACAGAGAGTTTGGATTCATCTGCTCTCTTGTTCCTCCAAGATTGATTTTTCCTTATCAGTCCTCCCATTGAGTTGTGGGTGTGCTTGCAGGCATCAAACATTGACTTGACTGAGGACTGAGTCAAAATTGAAAGAGAAAACTCACTGTTATCTCTTCTGTGCCCACCACCATTTATCTCTCTGTTTCTCTTAATCTCTCTCTCTTCTCTCTCTCTCTTTCTCTCTCATGCTGGTATTGGGGCTTATACTTCGTTAATCACCAAAAAGCTAGAAGCAGAGCTGTGATTAAAGTGGTAGAGTACTAGCCTTCAGCTAAAAGACTAAGAGAGACAGAGCCCAGACCCTGAGTTCAAGCCCCAGTTACCATCCCCCCCCCCCCACAAAATAGAGAAAAAGATGGAATTCTCGGCATCTGGTCCCACCCAGGTCTGATATCTGGTGGTGAGTGTAGTTAAGAGCCTGGAGTCAGACCAAAAGAGAGTGAATCTATGGCATAGATGAATCTGGGGGCAGCTAATCCCAAGAGATGTGTGTTGATCAGTTTGATTTTTGTAGGTGGTTCAGCAGATGGCAAAACATAGAAGCATCTGGGAAAATGACAAAACAGAAGTGGGTGACCTAGATCCTGCTTGCTGTAGCCTTGTGGATATGTAACAGGTTCTGCCACTCTACTTGTAATGGGAATGTTAAAAAAAATGACCTCTAGCCAGTTCTAAGGTCCCCACTTAATAGGGAATTTCAGTAGGCAGCTGCAGATCAGGCTTTATCTCTGCAGAAGAGAGGAAGAGAGATCAGTACTAGAGATAGATAGGAAGTAACTGATGGATCACATCTGTCTCTACTATCTGGTTAAATGGTTCGGATCTGATGAGTATTTACTTAAGCTGCTAACTGTCCTCTAGACACTGTTCTAGGAATCCTATATTTTTTGGCACTTAGTACTCAGAAGAACTTATGAGTTCTTACTAGTCTGATTTGGAGAAGAGTACAGCTCAGGTGCAGTGAGATGATGTATCATGTCAGGATTTAAATCTATGTCTGTGTGATTCCAAAGTGCTTCCACACTATAGAGAATCTCCCAGGGTGTCTGTTGGAAATAAATGAAATGCCAGGCTGTCTAAAATAGAGAGAAAGGGATTTCACCTTTAAAAAATGGACCTGAAAATTCAACAGTGGAGCTCAGGCAGGAAATGTGGACAGGACTGTATGGTTCTTATTTAAAGAAGGTGGGCCTGTGCCATCTAAAGGGTCATCTGAGCCAGATGCTAGAGGCTCACACCTGTAATCCTAGTTATTCAGGAGTTTGAGATCTGAGAATTATGCTTCAAAACCAGTCCAGGTAGGAAAGTCTATGAGAGTCTTTTCTCTAATTAACCACCAATATGGCAGAAGTGGAGCTGTATCTCACTTGGTAGCCTTGAGGCCAAAAGCTCAGGGACAGCACTAGGCCCTGAGTTTAAGCCCCAGTACAGGCACAAAACCAAAACCAAAGGGTCACCTGTGTCTCAGCAGATCTCCTGGGAGGTTTCCTTTGTAATTTTTATGCTGCTCAGAACTTTTTCTATCTGAATTATTGGTGAAAATTCTAAATATTTCAGAGTAGGCAGAAAATGAAAGCTGTTAACCCTTTGCCAGTTTTTGGACTTAGCAGTAGGCACCTACTTGGTTCCCTTGGTTTTCTACAGTCCTTTTTCCTGGTCTGGAAGTAGAATTTCTAAGACAGAGCCTATAAACTATAGCCTTGCCACTTCTGATCCTTTTTGTTTGTAAAGAAAGAAACACATGTTTTTGAATCCTGAAGCAGGAAATTTGAAGTATACTTCTTTTCTCTCTTAAGGGATCATAAGTGCCCCACTCCCAACTTTGGAGCTTCTTCCTATGTCTTTGGCAGCTGAACGAAGGGAGAAGTGTTGGGAGATTTAGAGAGATATTAATAATGTATTGTTTGCCCAAAAATCTGTAGATGGCCGGGTGCCGGTAGCTCATGCCTGTACTCCTAGCTACTCAGGTGGCTGTGATCTGAGGATCGTGGCTCAAAGCCAGCCTGGGCAGGAAAGTCTGTGAGACTCTTATCTCCAATTAACCCCAGAAAAACTGGAAGTGGCGCTGTGGCTCAAGTAGTAGAGTGCTTGCCTTGAGCTGAAGAGCTCAGGGACAGTTTGAGCAGCTTTGAGGCTTGTAAGAGAAAGCTAGTTTGGCAAGGCTGAGATTCAGATGTCCAAATTATTTTATAACTCCACTAAAAAAATTTGACTACATGGAGGCCCAGAACAGGAGAATCACAGTTTGAGGCAGGCTTGAGAATAAAAATTCTCAAGACTCCCTTTCAACCTTGTAGCTAGGTTTAATGGGACACACTTGTTATCCTAAGTTACATAGGAAACTCAGATTGGGAGGATCATGGTGCTGGCAGAAAACTGTGAGACTCCATGGAAATTGGGTGTGATGGTGCAGGTCCATGATCCCAGGTAGGTGACCTCTAGTAAGTAGGTGGCTTGTGGCCCTTGTGGGAATATGATGATTTCTAAAAATAACCATTGAAAATCAGGGTGGAGATGTGCCAGCCTAGCAACTGTGAGTTTGAACACTTAGTATTGCCAAAAAAAGAGAAAGTTTAAGTTATGGTCACCTTTGGAGATTTTATATAGCACGTTGCATTGCATCTGGATATGAATTGCACCAACATTGGAGTATCCAAGAAAGGAAGAGCCCTACCAAAAACTCCCAAATCTCAGCTGCTCAGGAGATAGATGCTGAGGGCATCTGTGCTGCTCCATTGCTTTTGGAGGGTCACTTCCCTGTGCATAGGCCACCAAGATTACAACCTGAAACTCTTGCTTGTCATATCCATACAGTCATCATAGTTTAACTTCATCAGTTACGTTGTCAGTTTAACTTCAAGTGGCTCTAGGTGGTACCTTCCTTTTTGAGTACTCTATAAGATCTGGACGTTTCTTCCTATAGTATAGGTTTCCCTTCCTTCCTTTTTTTTTTTTGGCCAGCCATGGGTCTTGAACTCTGGGCCTGGGTGCTGTCCCTGTGCTCTTCAGCTCAAGGCTAGCACTCTACCACTTGAGCCACAGCACCACTTCCAGCCTTTTCTGTTTATGTGGTATTGAGGAATCAAACCCAGGGCTTCATGCATGCTAAGCAAACACTCTACCACTGAGCCACATTCCCAGCCAATCTTTCCTTCCTTTTTATGTTGGTACCGTGGCTTGGACTCAGGGCTTCATGTTTTCACTTAGCTTTTCCACCCAAGGCTGAAGCTTTACCACTTGAGCTAGAGCTCGACTTCTAGCTTGTTGCTGGTTAAAATTGAAGGTAAGAGTCTCACAGACTTTCTTGCCTTGGCTGACTTTGGATTGTGATCTTCAGATCTTTAGATCTTCAGATCTACACAGCCTCCTGTATAGCTACCCCCAGCTCCTGGCATGTTTGCCTTTCTTTTAGTGCACTCTAGCTATACAAAATGCCAATAATCCTTTGTTTATGCAGGCTCTCTTTTAGTAGTTAATTGACTAACAATAAAATGAGCACCTGTGATGACATCAGACAGTGGAGAATTAGAACACTGTCAGAGATTGTTTATTTCTGTGAATCTTCTCAGTCCATCTGTTGCTTTTCTTTATCTATGTCTGTTAATTCTGATATCTTTTTGTTATCTTCATAGTGTGTGTGTGTGTTTGTGGATGTATACATTTGAATTGCATATGTATATATGTGTGTATAATTTGAATATTTAAACCAATATGTTTACTTTTAGTTGCTTGTGACCTTTTTAAGTAGCATATTATTCCATATGTTTATAGCTTAGAATTAGCTTTTTCACTCAATATTGAATTATTCACCCAGACTATGTGTAGCTTAGTTAATTCATTTTTCATCAGTGTATAATATTCTGTGTAAATAAGTCATAGCATTTAGGTTGCTTTTAAGTTTTTCTTGTGTATGACAGTCATGCTATGGATATTCTTGCCCATGTGGGCTGACGCACCAATGGAAGATCTGGGCTGGTTTTCTTTTTTTTTTTTTTTTGGGTCCCGTCGTGGGGCCTGAACTCTGGGCCTGGGCGCTGTCCCTCAGCTCTTCAGCTCAAGACTAGCGCTCTACCACTTGAGCCACA